CAAAATTAGGGTTTAAAACACATTTCTTCAGTTTTTGGAGCACTGGGTCCATAAATGCAAGTGTAATTTTTCTGCTTCTGCAAGTATTATCATTATTTTATTTATATCCTGCTTTTCTCCTTGATCAGGAACCCAAAGCGGCTTTTACCATTATTGCCCCCCCTCCAGTTAACCCTCAACAAACCACTACCTTGTGCAGACAGCAGTAGAAAAGAGTAAGAGTCTGGTAGCATCTTAAAGACTAACCAAATTTGTGGCAGGGGATAAGCTTTCATGCGCCACTGTTTACTTCTTCATATACGAGTGAGCAGTGACTCATGCAAGTTCATCCCCTGCCCCAAATCTGGTTAGTCTTTAAGGTGCTAACAGACTCTTACTCTTTTCTGCTGCTACATACAAACATGGCTACCCATCTTGATCTATCTTCCATGGAAAGCACCACATTTAGCCATACAGAACGGAAACCCATCAGCTTTGGTATCTGAAGAAGCAAGCAGTGACTCACAAAAGCTCATTTGTTGTTGTTGTTCAGTCGCACAGTCGGGTCCGACTCTTCGCGACCCCATGGACAATCTCCCGCCAGGCTCTCCTGTCTTCCGCCGTCCTCCGAAGTTGGCTCAATTTCATGTTCGTTGCATCGCTGACACTGTCTAACCATCTCATCCTTTGCCGTCCCCGTCTTCTTTGACCTTCAATCTTTCCCAGCATCAGGGTCTTTTCCAGTGAGTGCTCCCTTCTCATTTGGTGGCCAAAGTATTTGAGCTTCAGTTTCATTATCTGGCCTTCCAGGGAACAGTCAGGGTTGATTTCTTTGAGGATTGACTGATTTGTTCTTCTTGCAGTCCAAGGGACTCTCAAGAGTCTTCTCCAGCACCATACTCTGCCACAAATAGGTGCTACTGGACTCTTACTCTTTTCTACTGCTACAGACAGATTAACATGGCTACCCAACTTCATCTATCTCCTTGTGAAGGTAGGTCAGGCTGAGAGCTGGCTTCCACCGTTGTGCAGAGGATTCAAACCTCATTGTCCCATTATGCCAGCCCTCAATTATCAAATGCTCAGAGGTTAAGAGGCATTAATTCCATCTGTGGAATACTAATCTATGAGTCATTGACTGCAGAAGTTCATGCGCCAGACATTGCCTGCTACCCAACCTCAGATGGCTCTTTCACAGCAGAGGTGGTTCAGGTATTTATTCACTTAAAAATATTTGTTAGCCGCCCTTCTTCCTCCACAGCTCAAGGCAGCTTACGATATTAATAAAATATATAAAAAACACAAAACCAAATTCTCAAAACTGCAGTTTAGGACTGCTTCAATTAGACACAGACCTAAATAAAACAGTCTGCAGCTGCCTCTAAAAAGATCGAAAGGGAGTTCAGGCATGCCTGATCGCGTCAGATCTCGGAAGCTAAGCAGGGCCAACCCTAGCAAGGACTTGAATGGGAGACCTCCAAGGAATACCAGGGCAAAAAACACAAAACCAAATTCTCAAAACTGCAGTTTAGGACTGCTTCAATTAGCCCCACTAGGGGTCACCAGGGTCAATCATGACTTCCAGGCATACATACACAAAATACTCACACACCCCCAAACAAGTGAGCAGGCTGGGTACACCTCCTTGAGGAGGTTGTTCCATAAGTCACCGTGAGTACAATCACAGTAGGTACAACGCTAATGAGGATAGCAAGAAACATTTTGCCTTATCCTATCCATTTTCACCCAGAAGTTATGGTTTTGATTGAGACCTTCTCCCCAAGAAAAAGAGCATGTAGTTCAGGTCCCATACCCTAACACACCTGGTACTAAGAGCAAAAATATTCAATGTTGTGTTTCATTGTTTTAATATATGCTGCCCTGGGGGCCCTGAACTGGGTGGAAAGGTGGCAAAGAAATATTTTAAGTAAATAATAACAAAACAGAAAAACAAATGCCAATGTTAAGACTAACCTCACTGAACAAACCAGACATCTGGGGGCCAGTAACATTTTTGGCAGAGACACAACCAATGCTGACTCTAAGCTGCAGAGTCTTGTGAGCAAAAATTCTACTTTGTGAGCTATTG